AGAAATATTTCATTCAAACATACCAATAAGAGCTACACGTTGACCTTTTCATTGAATAAAAATTTTCTGAATAAAATGGTTAAATCAAAATTTATCTCACTTACTTGGCTTGATATTCAGTTGAAAGTTATTAAGAACAATAGATATTGGTCGGGCTGGATAGATGAATTTGACTTGATCAAATTTAATCTCACCACGAAAATCAACCTACACAAATCATAGTATAACTCACGGCACGTACATAATTGTAATTGACAATATTTATTTGGTATGTTTTCTTACCAATTCTTGTCCTTCTGTTGATGCATTGTCAATAGCTGGCTTTCGATCAAATAAATCGAAAAACCTTTCAGCCGCTGAGACAGATGCAGCGAGACGTCTGGATCTATAATGAAAGTAGTGAAAGAAAAGACAATGTAGAGATTAAGATTGTTACATGATTCCCATGGCTTTTAGTGCTTGTAACGAAAATACAGCTAAACCAAAGACCCTAATAAATTGAAAAGATAACAAAACACTATTTCCAAATTGAAAAACTGCAGTTTCAATTACATTATAATGTAATCCAAGGCAAGTTCCTTCTTTTCCACAAGAACGAGAGCACACCAATATAAAAATCCCATAGTATATGCATCTAGTGCCCAGAATATAGCATATGGAATTGAATGTATTATTGCAGGTTTCCAAGACGATCTATGACAAAATAGGATCCATCAGAAATTTATACATGCATAAAGTTCGATCGACTAACAAAAATACTTGATGGATAAGCTCAGAATATTGTCGTAAAAGTTCTTTTTCTATTGACAGCTGTTTTATTGTGCGCATATTATGAATAACTTCAACCGCAAGCTGTAGAAGTAAAAAACAAAATGAATATCGTCTATTTGTGTTAGTAAAAATTTCTTGATACGTAGACGGTTTCTAAAAAAAGATGATCACACCGGAAAATCTTAACTAACCGTGTTTGCTCGTTCGATAAATTGAACAGTTTTTTGATTAAGTGTTATCAGTAAAGACATATCTGCATATGTGATAGAGATTAAGATAAAAAAAGAACATAAAATGATCAATGCTAGTTGCCAGTTTATGTAACATCCGAATATAATTCCAAAAACCGATAGCGCAATAGCTTCGCAGATGGCTCCTAGCCGAATACCAGTCATATCTTGGATGGCTGATCCATCAGAAAGCAGACGAGTACAAATTGCACCAGAACTATTTTCAGGTTGATCAAAATATGCAACTTCTTGACGAAGTAGACATGCAAAAGCTTTCGAACGAATGCGTTGCGTCAATTTCGATCCTGCTATAGCAAAAGCCGTATACTATAGAAGAGATAAAATGGGTTATCGATGACGTTCGGGAATAATATTCTTACTTGAAAGAAACGGATAATTAAGAAAGCAATACCCAAACCTAAAAAAGGAATACTGGCGATCAATACTTGTCGATGTCGTTCAGAATTCGAACAATATTTGAATGCCTACACAATAAATCAATTGAAATAAACAATATCTAGTATCTCTCATTTTGTACAATGTTTATATGGATGGATTACTTACATCGACTATTTTAGCAAGTAGAAATGCGAACAAGGCTTGAACTCCACCAATAAGTACACATGCTGTACATCCAACAAGAATACTCATCCATTCAGGACTATTCATTGATAAGAGTCTTAATAAGGCAAATCTGTGTTTGAATGACTTCGAACTTTGCTAAAAGAGGAATCATCAATAATGGTCCCTATAAATTATTACAGTACTATCCGTACTTACATTATTCACATCAACAATTTCAGTAGCACTAATTAAACGAGTGCGTTCACCTGTTAAAGAAAAAAAGGCGAAGAAAATTGAAGACTATGACAATTAGAATATTAACATACATATTAATTTTTCATCTTCTTCTTTTGCTTTTTGTATGCTCATCATATCATCTTTATCATCATCGATAGTTGCCATTTGTTGATGTTTGACCATTACTCGATAGTGTCCTCCTTCGCTTGCCATCAATGTTTCATGTGTACCTTTTTCAATTACAGTTCCATTATCTAATACATATATTTGATGAGCATTCTGAATTGTAGTCAAACGATGAGCAATAACAATAGTCGTACGACCTATACAGAATGATATATTAATATGATGTGCAAAACAAAATAAATGATCGTTACCTTTGCATGCTCGGTCGAGTGCTTCTTGAACTATTTTTTCGCTAACATTATCGAGTGCACTTGTTGCTTCATCCAATAAAAGTATATTAGGTTGCTTGACAAGAGCACGAGCTAATGCAATACGTTGTTTTTCACCACCACTCAACTGTATACCACGTTCGCCAACAAATGTATCATATTTCTAAGCAAAAACAAAAAAAATAATGATCCATCTGTTTTAGATAAACATGAATATGTCACACAAACATTTGGTAATTGCATGATGAAATTATGTGCATTTGCATCTCGTGCTGCTTGTTCAATTTCTTCTTGTGTTGCATTTACTTTACCAAAGCGAATATTTTCATAAATATTCATCCCGAACAGAATCTATTCGAATGGTAAAATCAAATTAACAAGACAGAAAAGAAAAATGAAAACAAAGCATACAGGTTCTTGACTAACAACTCCAATGTTTTGTCGAAGTTTTTTTATATTGGAATCTGTTATTGGTTGACCATTAATCGTGATTTGACCGGATGATGGTTCATAATAACGAAGGAATAATGCTATACTTGTACTTTTTCCTGTAAATAAATTATGAATACAAGGGAAATGATTTCAAGATGTTTATTTTGGGAAAGAACTACCGCAACCACTTGATCCTACAAGAGCAGTTGTCTGGCCAGCACGAGCAATAAGAGAGAGATTATGTAGAGCTGATGTTTCTTTTCGAGATGGATAAATAAAGTTGACATTGTCAAATTCAATATCACCATTGATATCATCAATCGATTCTCGATCTTCTTTCCACACATCTGCTTCATTGACAGTTGCGTCAGTTTCCTATATACCATGTAAACAAATAGAGAACATTGCTATCGATATAAGACGTGAATTTATTCTAATCTACCTCATCAATAAGTTGAAATACAGCTGTTGCTGCACCTCGAGCTTGTGAAAATGATTGAAAGAAAACACCAATGGAATTATAGAAACTTAAACATCGTGCAAAGCTACAGATAACCTACATCGAGATAGTACTCGGCTGTTTATTTTTTTTTCACCTATTATTTATATGAATTACTTACAACAAGAATATCACTAATATTTGAACTATGATTATTTTGGTGAAAAATAAAGTATGAACTAAAGATAAAACCAATTAAATAAGCTAGTTTTGTTTTCAAAGATAGCCATCCATTGTAAATCCCAAAAACGAAACCTTGGCGTTTACTACTCCAAAGGGTTGGATGCAATTCTCGTTCGTACCTAAATGCAATTAAAATAATAAAATGTTATATGATATCACATACGTTAGTGATTTTGGTAAGTTTCCGTACCGATTTTGCTCAAATTTGCTCCCATTGAGAGAAAGTACAGTTCGAAGAGAACTAAATACTTCTTGAACGATTTGTGCTGCATTCGAGTATGCATGTAACTCCTTCATTGCTTCATTGGCAATTATCTGTGATAATACATACATATTTAATTCCTTGAAAAATACCTAATGTCTATACTTTAGAAAAGAAAAACGAGCCAATAATGATGAAAACCATCATGCATAGCATGATTAAAGTCAGTTTCCAGCTGATAATGAAACATACTATTGAGCAACCAATGGTAATGAATAATGTTACCAACAATGTTAAGAATTCATATCCAATGCCTTTCTCAATCTTTGAAATGTTACTAGATGATAATTGAATTAGATGGATTTGTTCGGTACAAAATATTAGAATGGCTTACTCAAGCAGTCTAGAAGTGAGTTGACTCGCCAAGTTGGTATCCATATAAGATATTGTCTAAAATTAAAGCGTGTGAAATAGTCAAAGATGGTCTAATTCGACTGGGTAGACAATTGTTTTAAGTAATAAATCGCTTTTGAATTCGGACTCTATGCGTAAGATAGATTTCATTGAGATATGAAACATCTCAAAAAGATAAATACTGTTAGACATTTCTCGCAGATTTATAGCTATTTTACCGCTAAGGACTAAGAGTCCTTAGCTTTTAAAAGGTTTTCTAGTTCATTGGGTCTTATTTAATGTACGAAGTTTGAACTTAGGAACTATATACCACTCGACCCCATTGTAAGTGTCATTCTAGCTCCTTTTGTATTTTCTAAATTCAAATGTCGCTTCACTTTAGGCGTTTTGATAATCTTACTGCAAATTTGATTGTAAAAAGTCGCACTGTATTCGAATTTAACTTAACAAAGTTGAATTTCTAAGTTTTTGTTTTTACTTGACAAATTACTACGTCAACATATATATTGAGATAATTGATAAAAATTTACTAGCCCTAACTCCATCCCTA